ATTTCAGTACTGAAAAATTTGCTGTAATATTTTCCCAAAAAATCGCGCGCGAATAAAAATGCAGAAAGTCATCCCGGCCAATCTGTTTCGGCGTAGCGAAAGCGCCGGCGTATATTGCGTATAAATAATCAAAGGCCGGGCCGAAATATTAAACAATGACGGATCGGGAAAGAACGCTTTTGCTAGGCATACTTTATTCAGGAGCGCATCTATGATGCAACGACATAAGCTACCGCCGCGAATAAATCTACGAATTTGTACAAGCGGCGGATATATATAATACCGCGCGGCCCCTGTCCGCGAAAACATTTCAATTATTATAAATACATTTTTTATCCGCTCCCCGAGCGTCAAATGCTACTGGACACGGTATTTATCCGAGGTCCTGGGAACGGACTAAATATTTCATACCTGATATAACATTCGCGCGGCACTGTGGTGCGGCTTATCATTTGCGTCGATAAAGTATTTGTAAATTTAATGTGTTTCCTAATGCATTGAATTGAGCAGTTAGCTAGCGCATTCATACCGCTGTGCATGCGCACAGAAATATTCGCTTCCGTTGCTCTCCGCTCGAGCGCGTGAAAGATTTACTTCACGTTATATTAAATTATTATTCGATCGTATTTATAATTGATACTGAGCTGGCAAGTGCCAAAGAGATGTGTGAAGCGAATTCTGTATTTATTTATTCACTGGCAGTGTGTTTGGCGCCGACGCGGCTCAATCGAAACCGACAAAATTATAGGGCACTTTACGACTTTAAAAGCAACATAGTTGCCGTGAATTAGAATTTTTAGATTAAGCTAGAAGCTAATTTGAATTAATTTTAATAATAATTTAAAATAAATTATAATTTTTCAATATACTTATAAAAGTAGTTTCCAAAATGTTAAAGGGTAAAAACGCAAAATGATTTTAACTTGAGCTCGCAGCAATACTGCATTAATTTGCTTACAATTTTTCTATATTATTTCAGATAAATACAATAAATTAAATAAAATTATATACATTTAACAAATAATTTTATTTTTTTTACAATATTTAACGATATAATTTTCAAGCAAATATTAAACAATTCGACAGATACATTTAATCCGTAATATAAAGTATGAAAATCAAACAACGAGATGTACCTATGTAATTCTAAATATATCGCGAGAATATTTTTGACCGAAATAATTAATTTTTAATTTCTTAATTAATATATTATACGTTCTGTTAATCGTATTTTTAGTCTGCCATCTTGCATTATTACGGCGACTGAAATCGATCGACTTCTTATCTTTTTGGTTATTATTCAATTCTTTGTGTACGATTGTACTGTCTATTATAAACGTATTAAGCATGAAAACCCGGAGGTTTTTAAATTTTTCCTACGTTCGTTCTGAATAAGAAAAGACTTGAAACCACAAGATGCAATTTTCGAATGCGCTTGTATGTAATTTGAAATACTCAATTTACAGTCTAGTCGTCTAGGCCGATTTGCGTCGTTAGGAACTCTATGTGGGTCAAATCGGAGCAGACCGTCGGCCGCAAAGTCCGAAGCCTACACCAGTTCTCTCTCTCTCTTTCTCTCTCTCTCTCTCTCTCTCTCTCTCTCTCTCTCTCTCTCTGCCTCTCACTCTTCCCTTTGATATTATCGATTCAGACTGCACGGTGCGCTCCTGGCTGCTACCGCTGCTGCACGACAGCCGTTTGCGTACATGCTTCCCGCGATATGACAAACAGCATGACGCAAGCGACGCCTGCAACGTCGCCGATATAATGCACATGTGTCGTTGATACGGCACGAAACGTCAAGACGTGTTTTCGAACGTCGCTATAACGATCGTAGTAGACGCAAGCGGCAAAGCAAAGGCGGAGGGTGCGAATATATTGGTCGAGACCGAGGGAAACGCGAGCGTCGGACATCCCTTCTCGATACAGAAACGCTCTAAAAAAACGTGAGCTAAAATACATACTTCGATTATTGCGTGACGAGGGAAATATCTTGTTACTCAATTAATACGCGTCACTTCTCATTCTGAAACGAGTCTTGAAAAAGTTCTAAATCGAATTATTCGTGGAACTCGTATGAAAACGTTAAAACCTGGATCGGCGTCGAATAACGTACATTGAGACTAATTTAGTTTCATAACGCGAAAGGAAAACGTGTATGAAGTACATGTGATTCGAAGGGTATGAACTTTTGCTGAAAGTGTGTGACAAAAACACGCGTTTCCTCGACGTGCAGAAAATACGTTGTCTCGGATCCCAGCGGAGCGTGAGAGCTCATATTAGATACCAGACGCGACGACACGGTGCACTCTCGCGGATATCCCGGCGAGAGAGAGAGAGAGAGAGAGACAGGAGTTTGGGGCGCTGGCGAAAGAGAGAGAAATATATTCTAACCATCGACGGCACCGGAAGCCATTACGCGCATCGAACACAACGCGAACATGCGCAACAAAACTGCTCGCCACGCCTGTCCGCCCGATGAAATCATCCGCCGTTAAAGTGCGCGACCCAGTCCGCGGCAGGAGATCTTTCGACGCGATGCGGAATTCGCGGTGGCGAATGAGAGGATGCAAAGGAAAGAGAAGGATTCCCCGCCTCGGGGAACGCGGATATGCTGAACCAGCGCGTTTCGTCGGAGGGATTTCTAATTCCGCGGCTTTAAGTCCCGCGATTTTTAGGAAAATCCGCGGAAACGGCTGCGCAAGATGCGATCGCGTCCGTAAAAAGGAACTCAACGGTCTGCCACATGACATTAATCCGATCAGTCGTAAGGCGTAATACTCTAATTTTCTCCGAATTTTACGAGGATTTTACGGGCGTATCATATGCCGTCGGAATCGATTTATCGGCGAGCTTACGTTTGCTCTGTTGATCCTCTCAATGGACTATACGCGCTTGATGTAACTACGTTTTGGCGTCACGGAAATTATTACAGAGAATCGTCATTTGAATAATTGTTGCGATTATTTTCAATCATATTTGATTTACGTATATAAATATACAATAGAAAAAAAAGAGTTAAAGAATTTATAATTTTATCAAAATAATTATTAGATACATAATTAATAATAAATTCTCTTAAACAATTATTATATTTTTGTGAATATATTTAATTACTATGTAACAAAGCATGAAAAAAAATCACTTACTGTAACGTTTCTTTTACAAATGTTATTTAAATTAATTAAAGATACAAATAAAAATTTACAGAGAAATTATTTGCTATATATACACATGTACATATTTGAAATTTACTTATACATATATCACAAAGCGTCGGCAACAAGAATGCGGAGCTGCATTGCGAACTTGTAAACGTCACACGCATCGCTTGTGCATTTTCCTGAGATCTAGCACGAGTTATTGTGTACGGGTGGATATTTTTTTCCTGTTACATAAGAAAATAATGGAGACCACCAGCGGGTGCGCTTTTCAGGACTGACGTAGAAGCGTATAGAGCCGAGGCGTTTTTATCGAGCGAACAGCGTAATTGTAAAAAATGTTATTTATACTGCGCCATGTGGAGCGACGCAAACGAACGCTTGTTGCACTTTAGAAGTCCGGCGCAAATTTTATTTCCGTAAAAGACGCCCGGTAAAAACCTTGCCCGTCGATATCTTCGACACCGAATATCTCTCGTCGATCTCGCGGTTAAAAGGAAGGAAGGTCCGTCGGGTGACACACACAACGAATCCGTCGAGGCGAGCACGAATTCCCAGCGATGACGTTCCTTGAAATAGCTCCGTGAATAGCTCGAAATTTTCCATCGTCGCCGCTGCGTTCGCGAATACGCGAGAGAGAGAGAGAGAGAGAGAGAGAGAGAGAGCAAGAGGGAAGCGAAGAGAGAAAATGCGTTAAATAACGATCATTTAATTTTGTGCGAAAGGATTACCGGAATGTACGCGAACAACTCGCGCGCGACACTCCCACGACGCGTTCCCGAATTTTATCTTCGCGTAGCACACATTGAATTTTTACGGCCCTATTGCGGCCGTATCTATGCGCGAATGCATCGAAGTTTTCGTACGGCCTCGTACAATATGCAAGCCGGCGAATGTTTTATCGAAGATATAACGAAAAGCGGCCCCTCTCTCTCTCTCTCTCTCTCGCTCTCTCTTTCTCAGCCTTTATTTCATCGAAGCGGATGTAAAATGTCTGGCTCGTAACGCGTGTAGCGGTAACAGCTGTTATTACATATGCCGCTATAAAATATTTTAATGAGGGAGAATAAAAGCCGCGTAACTGCATAATATGCAAAAAATTAATATATCGCCATTTTGTCTTTTCCTCTTTTTATCATACTTATTATAAATGTCAGTATCAACGCGCGCCCATTCTTACCGGTGTAACATTATCGTTATCATTTGGAACAGCCAATAAATTAATTGAAATTAACGAAGGCGTTTATCCTAATATCCCAAGCGCGATTGCACGTATATTGGCGCGAACGCAATAATAGGCTGATACTTATCGCATTACGCGGGCATTCACGCATCACCGAATTATATAATCACAGGGAAATCTCGCTCGGAAACGAAACAAATACGATACGTAATTGCATACAAAGTGAAAAATTATTCTGATAGAATGAATTCATTTATATGCGCGCGCGCCGCGCGCGAGCAAATTGCGCTTTTATCAATATTCGGACATATCGCACATTCGACTTTCGCAAGCTACATTTTTATTGCGTACGTGATATAAAACAGCGATCCCTCGTGTGATTGCCTACAAAAATCACATCGATTTTGAAGAGAGAAATATGATTGCACAAGATTTAATAAGGTGTTTCAATTGCGTGATCGATCAGCATAAATTGTCGTTGTTGGGTATTTGGAAGTTGGTAACGTTAGAAGTAGCGTTAGAAGCCGCCAACTGAGACTAAAGCAACTGCAAAATCGAAAAATAGAGATTCTTTCCGATCGGTATTTAAAAAAAAAAATGTCTCTATTAATTATTCCGCCTAAACTAATTTCTACGTTTCTGTGTTCTGTGTTTAGTACCCATATCACACATCGTGGCACTGGTCGGAGATTCCACCTATCTTCCCTGCGACATATCAACCACTCACGAGGGGGACTCCGTGCATCTTGTGCTCTGGTATCGCGAGGATCTCGGTACATCAGTTTACAGGTAAAGTGCAATCAATCCGTACACAGGCGAGCGTGCGCGCACACATGCCGTTCTACACAGGCACGCACGTATGTACAACGATTTGCAAACTACCGACCGGTCGTAACAGGAACGGACGGGCAAACAGCCCGTCGGCACAATGCGAGATTGGTAGTCCGCTTTTATCCGAAAATTGTCTTCGAACTCGATTTTCCTCGTCGCTCGGCTCAAAGAATGCATACCATGTTTGCGAATAGGAGTCACCGTTGAATATTGCATAAGTATCGATTTGTAGGGATTATTGAGAAGAAAAAAAGAAGCTGAAGCATCCGGGGCATTGTCAAGAGCTGCGCGATCATATTTTTTTTTTTCACGAGCGCGGCGAATTAATTACCGAAAAGAAAACGTGATAAACGCGAAAATTATATTACTCTCAAGATCGTTACATTCTTTCTCATTATTGTCACTGTTGTCACATTAATATTGTTATTGTCATTATTATTACATGAAAAGTCGCGCCGTCAAAAATATCTACGATCAATTTTGCGATGCCGACTTGCATTTCTGGTAGCGGGAGGGAGGGGGAAATGCTCAGAATGACGCTTTTTAATCGCTGTTTTGGATTCAATCCAGAATAATACGGGATTGAATTTCGCGGCTGTGTTACGTAACCCATCGCGTTGTGACGCACATACTAATGACAGGACAGTATCGCGATACACGAACGTAAAATACACATATACGTTTACGATCGAAAAATGATTGAAAAAAAAAGGGAAAAGCGAGAAAGGACGGGAAGAGAGGAAGGAAAAAAAAACTGCGGCGCGAATATTTTGCGCGTGCACGTCGCGAGCGTCATTATTTCGCGGTATTTCAAACAGATTTAAATGTTTCCCATGATTTTGCAACAGATTTTAATTACCCGTCACGTGTGCGCGCCGGCCGTCAGATCGCTCAGCGGCGATACGCCGTCGCCCGGCGCCCCGGCGCGGTTTTTCCACGCTCACCCGGGGTAAATGCGATGAACGCGCGCCCGTAGATAACGAAATTTCGCGACAGTTTCATCGACGCGCGAACGCCGACCGCGGCGTCTTAACCGCGTTAATCCCGGCGGACAATAAAATTGCGCCCGCCCGGACGTTTCCCGATCGCGGACGCGATTTTATCCCGGTTTTAATTTTCCCTCACGTACCCTCCATAAATTAAACGTGAACTATGCCGGAAGACAAACAGATTGCTCCTTATCTCGCGATTTTTGCCAGCTCGTGCGCGATAATGAGGTTAATTATTCCTGTCGCGTTGAAAGTATCTTCAATTTAATTTAAAATACATATCTTAATATCGAGCCCTGAAATTGAAGATCATGTTCACCGATAATTTATTTGCGAAATTCGTTAACACGTTATCTTGTTATTAGCGAGTTTCTGCCCTAGTACAATTTTTATTATTATAAATTACATAATATTTTATATATTTATTATTATAAATATATAAAATATTATGTATAATGTGATTACATTAATAGTGATATAGGATACGTAGTGTGCTGAGAATAGCGCATTCTCTACGTTATTATGTCATGCAAAATTTTATATTACCATTAAATTTTATAATCATCTTTTACAAGCGCGTTTTTTAAAAATTTCCAGTAAGTGACCACGAGGACGCCACTAAAGAATCAGACGCCGGCGACGCCGGTCACGGACAGCAGTCAAAAATAACGACGGGCCGAGCGTTGCAGACTGTTGTCAATAGTTTCGATAGTGTGATTAAAGTGAGAGACCGATCAATCGTCACGGCGTCAAGTTCAGAGGCACGAGCATAACCGTTCTTGTTTTGACGCTCGCGTCCTTCGCTAGGGTACTATATTATATGGGAATACGCATCGCCATTTTGGCTCCTGGTAACTGCACTTTTCAGCTTCTGGTAACTGCATTTTTCAACCGCACTTATCAAAATCATTCTGCACTAAGTAGGAGCCAAAATGGCGATGCGTATTCCCACATAATATAGTACCCTACCTTCGCTCGCCCAAGCGTTTCTCTCCTTGACTCGCGCCAGTCGTTTTGAACTAGTCTCGCGGCGCCATCGCCACGCTCCATACGGATGTATTTCCCATCTCGAGATCGAATTCGCGCTTCGTGACTCGTCGGCGGGCATTGAACGCAGAGCGATTGTCGCATTTTGCGTTGCACCACAGGAGACCGTATACTGCGCTCATACGAATTGTGACGTCAGTAGTGCAAACAAAGTGCTCGTGCGACGGATCTTATGTAGGATCGATCGATCCTGTAGAATTCACGAAGCGCACCGTTCCTATTTTGAGACGCGCAGACCTACAATATCGAGAATGCACTTACGAATCGGATGCGCGTTCATGAAGACGATCCGTCGTCGCTCGTGCAACGAGAGAGCAGAATATACGAATAAATGGCGGGTAGCAGTAAGTAGTTCTGTCTTTTAAAAATTGAGCAGACTCGTATGTAATCGGATGCAAAAGGAATTTACGGATGAGAATCGCAAAGCGAGCGGAAAAGATACGAATAACTTATAGATTCGTCCCGCTTAATTCTTTGGCAAAAAGGTCACCTGTAACCTTAACGCAAAATTATCGCACGCCGACGATGTATTGCATTTTTCATAAACAAGCCATTATCTGGAAGGCAGATTAGCGGTGGCTGCGTTACGGCTAAGCACTTAACGGTATGCTTAACATGCAACTCTCACCCCCTCCGGCTCCTCCCGCTTGCACCATTATCCGCTTTCTTTCATAGAAAAGCAGAAACGCTGGCTGACGCTGGAAGTGTCCTCGCGGTTCGCTATTTTAAAATCCTTTTCAAACGTTGCGATACACGTACCTCAGAAGCTCGTCACGCGGTAGCGCGACGGATCTTAAAAAGCGGAGAAAAGTATATAAGCAGCGCGGGGACCGGTTTAAGCGGATTCGTTCGTTCGAAATGCCGCGCGGATACGCGTTTATTCGCGGCGTTAAGTCGCGATATATACTTGCATTCTTCCCGAGAATAACAATAGCGCGAGCGGGGAATACGAACGACGCCGCGCGGATCCCGCTATTTTGCGGCGCCCGGAATGTTAATAACATTCGCGCGCGTGTGCACCGCGCGCGGAGAATTTGAGAAATTTATAAAAACGCCTGCGTCGCATCATGTAAATCATTAGGCGGTAATTAACGGCGAAAGAGAGACGCGATCGCCGTGAAATGAAATCAATTATGGCAGTATAATTATTACAATTTGATAGCGTTTCACGGCTTGAAATAACGATTTGCTCGTGGTATATAATGATCAGCGGAGGAACTTTAATTATGTGCCAATTACAACGGCCGCGATAACGCGCGCGGGGCTAGAGCGCGATTTAAACTATGCAGCGCGCGAAATCCCTCGTGGATTTTAATTTATTCCTTCGTGTCGACTGATGAATTCATCCGCGGCCGCGCGGTGGGACAACGCTAATAAACATTAATCGAAATTACCGCGAAAATGACGCCTGCCGTTAAAATTACCAACCAAACCGCGGATGTATCTTTTAAAATCGAGCACCGAAATCCGATTGACAATTGACGGGTGCAACACGAGAGTACATACACATGTGTGGCCGGCCACGTTACCGATGGGCTATCGTTAAAGTCCGTGGCAGTCAAAATCCGTTCGCGATTTTTTTTTATGCCTTCTATGCCAAAATTTCGTTATTTGATACGTCGAGACGTCGATTCTGCACGAGCGGCCAGATGGTACGATAGATTTTCTCGTTAAAAATTTATCATTTGCCTCCAAAAATACATTCATTTCCGTATTTGTATATTTTAAATACAAGTAAATATATTTTAAATGTTCCTTTAATATAGTCTACTTTAATTTTAATTTGAACATAGGAGCCATTTAAAATTAATTGAATAATATAATTCTGCTATCTCTTATTTTTACTAGAGCTCAATTCGTCGGAAATTTATTATTTTTTTTTATATTTATTATGTGTAAACTATAAATGTCGCGTCGTTCAAGAAAGATTAACGATGTTAACTATGTCAAAAAAAATTATCATTAAGAAAGTAATGTGGCAAAAGTAGAACGCTCCGCTTCAGTGTCTTTAATACCTTCGCCTTCGTCAGACGCCCGGCGTCTTTGCAAAACTTTTTACGTCGCTTTATAAATATCCCTCTTTCCCCGTATCGATTCAAATTGGCTTTCGGAGCGAAGGGGAGCTCGCCCGATATATAAAAAAAAAAAATGAAAAAGATCTCGCGACAAAAACGCGAAAACTTCGTTGTATGACGGAGAATCGCGCGCGGAGACAGAGAAAAGTTAGCGGGTTGACGCAAAACCGACGACGCGACGTTCCGGCGGCGGGGAAATCTGTGTTTTACGGGAATGGCAAAACAATCGCGGTTTTGCAGTTCGTTTCGCTTCCTCAATGCAAACATTCGCCGCGTTTTGTCTTTGCAACAATTCCCGTAACGAGTATTTTATCTACCATGAAATTATTCTCGCCATAATTCAGCGAGGCAGCGCCGCATTTTTCAGATGAATATTTTCATTCGCGTGCTTATTATTGCAGATGACACATATCGTAAACTGCACGATATAGCATTTCGAAAATCTGTCTGTCGGATTATTTACATGAACGGCTGACTGCGTCATAAAATATTCTTGCGAAATGCAGTGCACGTAATACAACATTTTGCATGACCTACATTTTTTAATGACGTTACAAAAGCATTTATCTCGATGAATGGAATTTTATTCATATTTTTTTTTTTAATTCCAACGCAATTTAATCTTCCGATTCGCATCTCTGAAACGGAAATTATCACATTATCATCATCATTATTGCATACTAAATTCATTTACACGTACAATTTTAATATGTAATATCAAAAGGTGAGAGAATTTATAATCTAGTGATATTAATACGATCAAATTCTCTGCTAAAATACTTTTGATACAGCTTAATATCATAAGCTCTCTTTTATTCGAAAACGAGGGAAAAGGAGCGAATGCACGTTCATTATAAGTATTCATCTATTGTCCATGAAGGGATTGTGCATTCTCCAAAGGAGATTAATGCAAAACGATAGTTCATATCGTCAATGCCTGGCTGGTCCATCCATTACTGACGTGATTTTTTTTTTTTGTTGTTACAGCATCGACGCCAGGAACCGGGAGTTCGGTGTCGCCGAAAGATGGTCGGACAACAGCGTATTCTCGAATCGCGCCTATTTCATGCTGGACAAACAACCGGCGCAGCTGGGCGTCGAGAACACGAGAGAAGAGGACGCCGGTATCTACAGGTGCCGCGTCGATTTTCAAATCGGCCAGACGAGAAACTCCAAAGTCAATTTAACAGTAATCGGTAAGATTTATTTAAGCTATCCGATATCACTCGATAAAAGATAGCTATATACATAATATTATAGATATATAAATAATATATATAGATATGGTTAAGATAGATATAAGAAGTAGAGAGAAAATTTTATTAAAACTTGGAAAGTTATTTTAAAGAGAGGTAACGTTGTCCCAAATTCAACGTAGTTATTGAACACGATTAATTCAAATTTCAATTTGTTATTCAATTAAATTTTGATCGATGAATCAGACATGGTAGCTTCGCTTAAATTATACGTTCTTTCATACATATATAAAAAAAGTTTACAGTCACGTTTTACAGTGAATTATAATGTAAATCCAAGATTGAAATTGGTTGGATTTTGTAACTGTACTATATATGATAAATATTAGCGTGTTGAAATGAGCCAATCGTGAAGCAGCTTGGCAATTTCCATCTTGGATTTGCATTATTATCCGAAACGCGTTGTCGCGAGAAACTCTCTACTCAGTCCCCTTATTCTTATACACGCAATAACGAGAAAGTCTTCAGGGAAGATCGTTCCAAGTAACCCGAGTCAGTTGTAACTTTGCCGGAGCTTCTCTCCCTGTACATAATTACCTCTTTCATTAATACCCAATTAGCCGCTCGAGCCACCGGCTACTCGACGTGTATTGCGATTATGCTAAAAATGACACGAAAGTTTTACGGGCTTCGTGTAAGTACCGTCTTAAAGTTACGTGTCGCCCGTACTTTCGCAACTTCACTCTTATAAAACCATCGCAAGGTATTGCGAGCGCTTAAGGCGCGAGAGTTGTAAGGATCAACTTGAGACTCATTGCCCGAGGTCGCCGAAAAGGACTTCTACCGGTATTAAAGCCATTTGATGTTTGAGAAAATGTGGCGAGTGCCGCGCGAGCCAACAGGTTGCAAGCCAGTGCGCGGGCGATAATTATTTGTCGCTTTTCCAACGATGCGATAAATCCCGATAAATCCCCAACTTCTCGAATGATGTATTTCGGTCAAGAAGGTGCTTACGCATACACAATTTAAAATTATTATCATTGGAACGTTATTATTTTTATTCGCGTATATTCGACTTCTCGAACGTTTTAGCGAAATTTTAATTACCACCTTTTTATGTAAAAAGATTTAATTAAAATGGATGGATGTAAAATGTCATCTTGTCTGCCTCCCCCCAAGTTAAATCGTAAACTCCGGAAAAAAAATTTTAATTAGAGCAATTTTTAAAACTATTCCTTTTTTTCAAACTACGTTTTAATATTACGCCTTATTTCCGAACCATGGTTATCGTTCGACGTGACGGGCATTTTTAGCGCGCCAACAAAAGAATCGTAAAACGGCAATTAAGCAACGTAATAAATTCGAAATAAAGTAAGCGGCCATCGGGGCGAAGCGAGCATACACACGACGACGGAGGAAGGTGAAGGGGGGCAAGAAGGAGATACGAGAACCGAGGTCAAGGAGAGAAAAAGGAATCCAATTAACACCCTGTTGAAAAGTTATGGAAACACCAACGTACGAGCGCGCGCGCGTCACCTCGGGATTCGCCGTTGGCCGGCATGTGCCAAGGAATTTTTCCCGCGGGGTAATTAGCTCTCCCCTCCGACCCACCGACATTTCGCACGTCCTTGCTCGCAGACACTCCGACCGTTGGTAAACCTTTTCCAGATGAACGCCAATTAACGTGCCTTTACTCCCATCGCGCTTTCGCCAGCGAAATTGCACATCATTCTCTCGTCGGTTTTCTTTTTTTTTTTCCCTCCCCGCAATGGAAGTTACGAAACGTACGTCCAAACAATTGCGACCGAATGTACGTGTATTCTTCGTTACGCGTTCGAGAAATATGTATGTATAGATCTGGTTCTATTGAAATTTAGAGATCCCATTTTTTTTTCTTTTTAACGTGAAGTCACGGAAAAGCGAACTTTTTCAAACGTAATAGTGTCGAGTTGAAATCGAGTAAAAAAAAATCGCGTTTCTTAATAGTTTGATCGGTAAGTTAAGAAGAAGACTAATATTGGTGGTATATTAATGCATGCTTATAACCGCCATCGTCATCGTTGCGTTGCAGTGAAGAGTGTGTGCTTGCGAGATAAGAGTGACTGGTAACGCCCGTTAAACGTTGCACTCGTGGAATTTAAATCGTTCTTCCAAGCGCGTTTCGACGCATATTTGCGCGTTGCGACCGTCAAAGACTCGTGTGTGCACCGAACAAGAGAGGCGAGAACAAAGTAGTGAAGATGCATTCGAATCAGATGCACTGTGACAGTAGCAGGGTGGATAGTGAATGAGGAGGAAAACGACTCGACCATTAACAATGCGAATTTGCTTTTTCGAATGATACGTTTTGTATTCAGAGATACGTAGCGGAGAACGGATCTAAAACTCGTCATCACATGGTGAACGAATTAAATTTTGTTTTTTATTCAGTAAAACGCGAAAAAGGAAAACACATCTCTTGATCGAAAATAGGTACATTACATACTAAACATATTAAAAACTAAAAAATTGTGTTTTTATTATTTCAAACATTAATATATAATGGCTTTGAAAGAACTCTAATGATCTCAACTAAAAATTATAATAAATATTAACATATATACATAATATAATAATTACAATTTTTATGTGATAAGTCATTTTATTTCAAATTGAAAATACGATCGATCGCACGCGGTGTTATATAAAGTGTATTCGCTTTAATCCAATAGACAAGATTATTTCGGGGTCTTCTTGTCAACGCCACAGACGGTTCGTAAATATCCAACTCGTCATATTTTCTGCCAATAGCTGGTATCGCGGCGGGCTGGCCGAGTTACCGTATATCGAGGAACTTTGTGTTTGACAGTGGTTTCCAGCAAAAAAAAATAAAGGGAATAAAGGAGGGTGAAAAGTTTCGTACAGTTCCGACGGGTACCAGACCTTTGACCCGACGTTAAAGCTTTTGGTAAACGAGAGCATTTATCGTAGCAAGACGCCGTGTGTCCCCTTTCGGTCGAACAAGAAATACAAGGTATTCCCAGTTCCGAAAGTATAGAATGTAATTCGATAAATTTTCCGCGCTGTACTGGCGATTTCACGAGGGGCATACCTCGCAATTTCTGTCGGCCAATATTGACATTTCAATGCGGATAACGCGCGCGCAAGCAGACATAAATTTTGTGTGTATTTTATAATTTTGCAAAATAATAATGATACCCGTTATCGGGAAACGTTTTCGCAAATATTTCATTGCATAGGTATTCTTTAATAATTATCGAATTAATATTTTTCGGTTATCAATTATTGCAGGGCATAACAATGTTCGCGTAATTTAATTATCGCGTAATGAAACAGAACGATTTTCTATCCCATATTTAATTTTAATGAAATTGCGATTATGAACGATTTAAAAATTTTATGCTGCAATAAAAAAAGAATAATGGCTTGAATACGGTCCCAAACCGGTACCTAAAACCCGCTCGGCTCGGTCTATACCTATCAGTTCTCGTTTAGAAGCCGAGATATTATATCATGCTTTAGGGTTTCATAAAATACGGGCGAGCTGAAGATAAGGTGGTTCCCGAGTAACCAACCGGGGGAACCAGAAATCGGTGCAAAAACTCTAAAAGAAATGGCGGCTCTTCGCATTAAGACTTCCTCGAAGTCGAGCTACAGAAAACGAGCGCATTTATCTTCTTGAACCGTTGTTTCTTCAACGGTAAAGGAAAGGGATGGAGCGAGGCGAGAGCCGCTGTGCGAGTAGGTTTTTTTGCCACGGAAAAGGACAATACATAACTGGGTAATACCCCACGTTCGCGCGGACCCGCCATTCGCTCTTGCCCGATCCCGAACTTTGTAATCGCGATAATCGAAATCCCAGATATAAAGGCAAACGAGCTGGTTGCCTGCTTCCTCCTGAGATAGAACGTAACGTACAGCAGAGCTCTATTTTGTAAAGCGTTTCCATCGCGTGTCTGCGCGAAGCGACAGCGTAACACCCTCGCATAGCATGTGACATCGTCTCTCACTTCGCCGTCTCTTCACACTATCTGATATCGTTGAGTCATGGAAACTCCATTTCCGACGAACGCGCGACAGCACGTCGTTGCGCGTTCAACAATAAACTCACGGGGGTGAGTTTTGTTTATCGCCTTTAAAGAAAATATTACGTTTCAAGCGCGTGCGAGCGTATACAGCGAGCGACCCTTCGCGCGCCCGCTTCCACTGCATTATGATTAATGCACGCCAAGCGCACCGCGTTTAGGAATTTGCTTTGTGCACACCGTCTGATTAACGAGCAGTCTACCTACACCGCGGCACTTCGTCACGATTAAGTAAAGCGGTCGCGAAAGAGGTATAGAGGAGAGGTCGCGTAGAGAAGGCGGACGGATGCGAAATTTTTATTCAACGGCGCGGTGGTCACATCTGCGAAGTTAGCGCACACATTTTTAGAATCCCGATACAATTGATAGAACCTTGGCGCTCGGCCAAAAAGTTCTAGGCTCGTATTTATAGTCCCGTTTTTCTACCAAGACGATCACAATTCTACCAAGATCTCATCTTGAAATGTGATACGGTTTTATCACCGGATCTTAAAAGACCGAATCTTATAAAATTTGATATTCTTTTAATAGAATTTAAAGGCCGCGCGGATTATTTCGGCATATTTCGTAAATATTAGCACGCTTTTTCGTTTTCCGCGCTTCGCTTGTGTTACACTTTTGAGATGAGATTCCGTATAACGCCTATAAATCCGAACCTCGGCAGTTTTTGATATTTCAAAAAATAGTTCCGGCGATTAAATGTGGAACTAGAGAATCGAAAATTTGAGGTTTTATCTTTACAGAGATGAGAGACTGTTACCCAAACTGAATTGAATATAGAATTCGGTTTGCTGCAGTGTGAGTAGTAATAGTACTCGGTACACGATCTGGTATGCGCTTAGAGACTGTCGTGCGAGCGGATATCTTTGCAAGAGACAAGGGTGTGAATGGCGCGAGATGAAGAATAAAAATGTT